CCCAAATGTGGAAAGTACTGCTAATCTCAGGTGTCTTTGAAGGCTAGGGAGGAATCGAGATTCTTTCTGTGGCAAGAAAGAGTCGTTAGATGGAATAGATTAAGTCCAGCAGGAGGTACAGTGGTGAAATGTCTGTCCCTAAAGATGATTCAGACTTGCACTGGTAGTCATTGGCCTGGACTGGCTTGAAGCTTTGCATAGAGCTTGGGAGCTAGACAGATCTCCTTAGAGACTTCGGGATTCCAGTATTTTGCAAGGAGGGAGGGGTGGTTGGGTAGGTGGTTGGAGAAGGGAGGTGGCAGGGTCTATGGACTCCAGGTGGCTATAGGACAGCATGATACCCAGAAGTGACAAGGTAGATTGGCATGAGTTCTCAGGGCAAGGTTCAAGTAGGGATGTGTGCGACACCAAACAGCATGCTAATCGTACTACAAACCCACTACTGAAATAGTTACTGAAGGTACTGGGTCTCTAGTAGGCTTCAGTGGCTCCCTGGAGGAAGAGCTTTGAAACAAAGGAATATGCCCCGACAAGAAGCCCGGCCTTGGGTGCCGGGCAGAGGAGTGTAGATGTAGACGCTTGACTCCAGGCAGTAGTTGCAGGTGTCTGAACAGGAAACACTGGGAGGAATTCGTGTTGGACAGTCCTGGCGACAGGCAAGGCTAAGTCCAGATGGACAGTGTGAAGAGGTGTGTGGTGGGGTCTTGGGGAAGGGAAGGAAGACAGAAGCGAGGGATCTCACCGCGCTGCTGCTTCTGTGTGCCGGGGTAAGCCGAGGAGTCTGTTTCTCATTAAGCACAGAGGAGGGTTTCATCACTTACGGAAAACCATCCGCTTATCTGAAATCTGACCTACTTCAGTTGGAGCCAGACAGGGCTCCTGCATCCCACAGGGACACTGGGGCTGTAGTTGTCCAAATCGGTACATGCAGCCAGCCCTCAGCAAGGAGCAGCACCGCTACCACCACCCATCGCACAGAGGCACGGGGCCCAGGACCGACCCCTGCCCCTTGGGGTGTCAGGTGGTGAGGTAGGCTCACCAGGCCAGAGCCTGAGATCCCAATGAGTCAAAGGCTTTCTCCACGGTATCTAGTATGCTATAGATGCAGCCCTTCCCCCTGAATTGCCACACCCCTGGGAGTGAACAATGCAACTTTCTCGCTGTAGGGGCTGCATCATGATGTAGCTGATGTACTCTGGGCTGGGAGATGGGAGCGGGTGGGTAGACGAGTCCCAGTGTCTTCTGGGATTGGATGGAGTCAGGCCAAATGTCTCTAAGGTTCCTCCTGCTTCCCATTTCCTTTGGTTCTCTCTAAGTAATCTTCAGCCACTTTTTAGTCCTACCAAAGATGACATTTTATTTGGTGGTTGGAATTTCCTGGTCAAGAGAAATGCTAACAGGCTAGAAAATGGACAGACATCATTTGGAGAAGGAGCCCTGGTGGCGGAGTGGTAAATTGAAAGGTTGGCGGTTCGGACCCACCAGCCACTCCTTGGAAACCCGGTGGGGCAGTTCTCCTCTGTCCTATAGGGGTCACTATGAGTCAGAATTGACTCGATGGCAATGGGTTTGGGTTTTGTTTTTCTTTTGTTTCCTGGAGGTAGCAGCCTCAAGTTCTGATAAATCAGTTAGAGAGACAGGGATGAGAACAATAAGCAGGAAAAAGGAAAGATACCTGGCCTAAACTGGCATGGTGACAACAGCCAAGGGGCAGAGGAGGAACTGGCGAAGGCTTTGGCAGAAGTGGATCCAGGTAGCACTGGAAGATGTTGGAGGGACTGGGGCAAAGCTCGCGTGTGAAGGGTTGCATTGACCAGGACCAGGAGCCGAGGAAGCTTTGGTCCACACGGATCAGACTTAGAAACTGCAGAGGTGGCAAAGCTGACATATTTAGGGTGTTTTCAGTTCCTGCCCCAAAGTTTTGCCCCTGGGGAGGGGCCCCAGACAGGTCTTCTCACTAACTAGGGTGCTGAACTTGCTGTCTAAGAAGCCATGGTGTATTGAGGAAATGGTTAAAGTTACGTGGGGCCTGGGGGAAATGGAAAGGATGCTGGGACACTGCTGTCTGCTCCTATCTGTCCTTTACATCCACCCCCCCAAGTTTTCACAAGGAGCCCTGATAGTGCAATGGTTAAGTGCTCTGCTGCTAACTGAAAGTTCTGTGGTTTGAACCCACCAGCCACTCCAGCGGAGAAAGATGTGGCAGTTGCTTCCATAAAGATTACAGCCTTGGAAACCCTATGAGGCAGTTCTATTCTGTCCTATAGGGTCACTATGCGTCGGAATTGACGCGATGGCAAAGGGTTTTTGGCCTCAGCTGTCTTACAGTGGGACAGAAGTTCTTAGACTTGTACAGGTAGTTCAGGATGGGGGCCTCAGTGATGACTGGCCCCCAACTCTCAGTCGGTTCATGGGGGGTGATGTGCTGTGGAATCGGGACACCTCCCTACCCCCGAGGTCATCTTACTGAGGCGGTCTACTGTATCGGCTGAGTAGGAAAAAGAAGACAGCTGTCAGACTGGCCACAGTGCTGAAGAGGCTGCAACTGGAGAACCGAGCTGGCTCTGCCCCTGGAGCAGTGCTCTGTGCTCATAGCAAGGCCTTCCTCGGGCCCTGTAGGTGGGAGAGGCTGTCCCGTCACAGATCTAAGAGGGGCCTGAGCCCAAGAAGGCCATGCCTGGAGGCCGCAGGAGGAGGGATGGAATGATCACGAGCAGACTGAGTCGGCTGAAAATGCCCTCCAGCTCCTGGCATGGTGGTCTCTGGTTGGGGAGGAGCAACCCACCCATTCAGCATAATCGCCCCACATCATCGGGTCTCAGTGGGTCCCAGGCCTCAGCTTGGGAGTGAAGTCAGCAGGATGGTGCCGGGGTGCCCATAGTTGTGAGGGAAGGGGGGCTCTGCCACCTCTGGTTTCCTGGGCTCGGCCCGCAACTGGAGCTTGCAAGAAGACTGGGACCTTTTGCCTGGCAGAGGCCCCATGGTAGGAGGACCCCTGGATTGGGAGGATAAAATCTGGGCCCTGGGCCTGCCTCTGCTTCCAACTTTGTCGCTTCCCTTCTCTAGACCTCAGCTTCCTCTTTGGTTAAACCAAAACACCAGTTAGGAAGGGTCTCTGAAGTCCCTTCTAGCCCCAGCAGCCATGTTTTTCAAAGCCCTTCACCTATATGGTCTCATCTGCTTTAAACAACAGCCCTGCATGCAAGTAAGGAGGCGTTACCTCCATTTCATTAAGAATGTGGGGGACAGCGGCACAGAAAAAGGGTTTCCCCCTGTCATGGATTGAATGGTGTCCCCCAAAAATGTGTGTTAACTTGGCTAGGCCATGATTCCCAGTATTGTGTGATTGTCCTCCATTTTGTCATCGGATGTGATTTTCCTCTGTGTTGTAAATCCTACCTCTCTGATGTTAATGAGGTGGGATTATGGGCAGTTATGTTAATGAGGCAGGACTTTAAATCTACAAGATTAGGTTGTGTCTTAAGTCAATCTCTTTTGAGATATAACAGAGAAGCGAGCAGAGAGACAGGAGACCTCATACCACCAAGAAACAAGAGCCAGGAGAATAGCGCATCGTTTGGACCCAGGGTCCCCATGCTGAGAAGCTCCTCAACTGGGGAAGACTGATGACAAGGACCTTCCCCCAGAGCTGATAGAGAAACCCTTCCCCTGGAGGTAGCACCCTGAATTCGGATTTCTAGCTTCCTAGACTGTGAGAGAATAAATTTCTCTTTGTTAAAGCCTTCCACGTGTGGTATTTCTGTTACAGCAGCACTATCTCCCATCACCCCCTTGGTGTGGCCACCCCAAGCTGTGTGGGGCCTCCGAGGGAGAAAGAAGGCCGCTAGATCAGCTCTGTCCCTCTCTAGCTGCCCCTGCTCCCCAACAAACACCAAATCGGCCTCTGTAGTTATTTCTGGCCCTCCTCCCCCCCCCGCCCCGCCCAGTCTGTCATATCCTGAAGTCTCAGTAAACCCCCTCTATTTTCTGACTTCTATCTAACTCTTGCTGCACAGTAAGCCTCTCTTCCTTTTCTGCGTCCCCCCTACCCCCAGGAACCAATCATGGGTGAGTCCCTGAGTCTACTTTGAGACCCCTCTTGCACTTTGAGCCTCCGCCCTGGTTTGGGTGACCCATCTGCTCCCCCCGCCTTTCCTGTGGCTCAGAAGGGAGTTAGACCTATAAACAGAAGGAAGTGGAACCCCAACTCTGTTGACTCAGCAAACATATTTCTCCTTAAGCTGATTAGCAGTGGAGTGGAAAGGAGGGAAATTTGCTAGTCATAGGAGCTGGCGCCTGGGCCAGGCTGGGGGTGGGGTGGGGTGTGTGGCAGTGCCCAGGCTTAGGGAACATGGCTTGAGAGAAGGGTCTGGAGGATTCCTGTGCCTCAGGCAGGTGCAGGGCTCCCTCGGCAGGAGGAGGGACCCTGATAGGCACTGACTATACTCTTGTAGGTATGAGAGCCCACAAACAGGCTGCAGGGACAGGACCACACAGTACCCAGGCCTGAGCAGCTGGGGGTGGGGGCACTCTGCTCTGAGCCTTGGGGACTACCCGGGGGCAGACACAGCCCTGCCTCAGACAGCCCCCAGTCTGAGACAAAACTAAGACATAGGACAGATTCTTCCAGGTGGTTGGAGCCCCAGAGTGTGGAACTTTGCACTGGAGCAGGAGGCTGGCCCCAAAGGGGTCTGGGCAGAGAAGGGGGAAGCCTCACAGAGGCACAGGGGAAGGAATGGGGTCCTCACTGAGGCCAAAGGCCTGAGCCCAAGAGGCTGGGAAAATAAGAGAGTCCTGGAGTCATTGCAGGGGGATCTCTACCCCTCAAGGGGCTCACACACACAGCTAATAATGTGCTATCCCCCTCTCCAGTCCTGTGTTGACAGGTCAAGGGGCCACCGTTCAACTGCTTCCCTCCCTGCCCCTCTTTCTCTATTGCATCTCTCTGTCCCTGGCCACCTGCCCAGCCCACCCCAGCTAGGGAGGGACTACTTTGCACAGTGATGTCTGTGTCCCTTGCCTTGGTGTCTCCCAGTCCCCATTCCACAGATCTGTGACCCTATCTATTCAGGTGTCTCTCAACCCCAGGCCCCTCTCCCCCTAGTGCAATGGCAGTTCAACTTCTTGCCTTCCACAGTGAGAGAGAGAGAGAGAGACAGAGCGCCAGACACAGAGACAGAAGCCTGGAGCACTTGGACCCCTGTGGGGGGAGGTGGTTGGTGATGATTTATTAGCCAGACAAAGATCAACAAACAAGTTCTAACATCTGTTCTCACCGAACCATTCCTCAGACAACAGCAGCATTGGACCAGGGCCCAGCCTCGAAGGCTCAGAGGGCCAAGGAAATGAGACTCCAGGAGGAGAAACCAGGGCAGCAGGAGCCAGCAGGGCCCTCTCAGCCCACTTCCTCGCCATCTTAGAGGACTGCCAAGCACTGGGCCATCGGATTCCTGGAGACTCTCAAGAGGGAACGAGCAGATGTGTCCCCAAGAGGAAATGGACCTCACATTTGCTCCTCAGGCCTCCAGACTTCTTTGGGGGACCCAGACCTGCCAGGGGAAAGGGCTAAGCCTGGGATCCAAAGGAGGGCACCCAGTGTCTAGGCCCCCCTGTGGCAGCACTCTGAAAAGCAGTCAGGTTTCCCATCTGAGAAAATCTCTGATGTTTCCTGTGAAGAGTTAGTGAAGTGGGGTAAGGAATAGAGCACTAAACAGGGAAATCAGTAAGCCTGGATTCTAGTCCTTGACCTTGGCCAAGTCACTCTTCTTCTCTGGGCTTTACTTCCTTATATGCACAGTGAGGGACTTGACCAGTAAGGGCAAATGTGCTGCTGCTCCTTCTCCCTCCCTCATCCACGGCAGACATCACCAATCAATCACGGTGCTCTTTTCTGCTGAGTTCAGATATGACCTTCACATTCTTTTCAGTGCAGCACTCTAGGCAGCCAGGACAAATGGATTGGAGTTGGCATACAAGGTGACACCTCTTTGCCATCCTTGCAACAGATGATGGCTGAGGTCCTTTCCAGCTCTGATCACCTGCGGTTTGTTCCATTCACATTTCCTGACAAGGGTGCCCCGATGTGTGTGAAGGTCTCTGGATCTGATATTCCAAATTATCCTCCCCCAACTCAGACTCACCAGCTACTGAGGAGGTCCCAGGGGGAGCCATGCCTGTCCCTGGTCCCGGAGCACCTGTCTAGGAACGTTGTGCGGGAGGGTGTGTCCCCGGGGGGGTGGGGGCTGGAGAGGCAGGGGAGGGCCTTGTCCAGCCACAGAGCTCTCAGAATGCAGCTGCGGACCACCTGGATTCTGCAGAGACAAGGACAAGCCCTAGGTCACATCTTCCACCCCCTGCCTTTAGGCCTACTTGCAGCCTTAAGGGCCAAGACTTCTGGTCTGAACAGACATTGGCCTCTATGCAGAGAAGGGGTCTAGACTCCTCTCAGTCATTCATTCAACAAACATTTCCTGAGCACCTGCTCTGTGCCAGGCACTGTACTGGGTGCTTCAGATAAGTGCATCCCAGGGGCTGCCCTCAGGGAGCTTGCACTCTACTGGGGGGGTGGGGAGATGGAGGGAGATGGGGACCCAGGTGATAAGTGACATGGCAGGTGTGCATAAAGCACAGTGATGGCCTCTGTGGCCAGGTCAGGGAAGTCTTTCCAGAAGAGAAGTGCAAGCTGGTTTTAAAGGGTGAGTGGAAGGTTGCCAGGCAGTGGGAGGGTGAGTTGCAGGAAGTTATTATATGCGGAGGGCCTGTTGTGTGCAAACCCTAGGAGGATTGAAACCACTTGATGTGTTTGAAGACATGTGACTAATTCTGGGAGGATGGGAGCAGCAGGTGGTAAGGCTGAAGGTTGGTGAGACCCAACCCCACCACCAAGTATGGAGGGCCTCATGGGCCAGGCAGCTGTTTTAGAAAGACAACTCTGCCTTCCTTGGGACAGAGTAGATCAGAAGTCGCAAGATTGGTAGTTAGGAGACCAGTTAAAAAGCTTTTGGGAAAGTCCTGGTGAGATATGACTGGGACTGGAACTGGGGAAAGGAACAACATATTTAGGAGGAGACCCAGGAGGAATGAGTGGCTTATGGCGGATAAGAGGGAGGAAACGTAGAGGGAGTCCTGAGGACTCTGGTTTGGATAGTCGGGTGGCTGAAGAGTTATCAGTCAGGATAGGAAACACAGGAGGGAGCAGTTCTGGGGGGAAAGGGTGAGAGCAATGTTGGCTGCGTTGAGATGGAGGGGCTGTGGGACACCCGTGAGCTGACCAGAAGCCTGGAGAGAAGTTTGGATGGAGACATGAACTAGCAACGTCAGCTCAAGGAAGGGAGCAGTTGGCAGGGGTATGGGTGGTTGTAAGCAGTCACAAAGTGTTGAGGAGGGAGCCTGGGTGCCAGCAGTGGGGGAAGGTGGGGAAGGAGTTGAGGAGGTGGAGCAGGAGAGCAGGGTGGGGTGGCAGCGGCAGGGGGAATGGAAGTGGGTGGGAGGGCCAGTGGGTCTCACACATGACATAAGACGTGAACAAATCAGTGAGAAGACTAGGGGAGGGTGAAGAGGAGTGTGCGAGAGGGAGGGGGAGTGTGCTGAAGGAGGCTGGGAGTGCAGAGGTTCCCTCCTCTAAGCTCACTGAGATAACACAAGGACCCCAAGAACGCTTCTTCTTCAGGAGGCAGGGCCATGAGGGCGGAGAGGAGCAAGAGCAGGAATTCAGACTGGGGAGGTCATAGTGGATGGAACCAAGATTCATGGTGCACAATGGGGTGGGTCTTGGGCAGGGCTGAAGAGGATCTGATGGACAAGATAGACACAGATCAGGATGCAGGCTGTGGTGGGGATGGCTGAGGGGTCTTCCTGGGGACTGCCTGGGACCTCTATTTTCTCTGTGAAGTAGGAGGGGATGATATGCTGAGAAGGGGAGGGGGTATTGGGGTGGAGGATTGACAAAGTATGGCAGGTCTGTGACTTGGGGGAAAGGGAGGGAGCAGTCTCTGGGCCTGGAAAAAAGTTGAGGGTAACGCTGGTGACCTGGACCAATAAGTCCTTCCCATCCCCCCTCAGAACTCTGACCTTCACTCTGACCTCGGCTCCACTCTGAACACCTTCTCTACCCTCCCCAATCCAGTTTTCAGGAACTCCTTCCTGCAGTCTAACCTTTCCCTGCACCCCCATTTACCTGGCTTCCTGGGAGAGGCCTGGACTGGCATTTCCGTAGGATTTGGTGCCCCATGGTGGACCGCGGTCCCTCACTTCTTGAGGGCGCCTCCACCTCGGCATAAATGTTGCTGGGGGCTTCCCCGGGGCTGCCCCGACCCATGGCGTAGAAGGCTATGGGCTCATCGAGCTCATGGTAGATAGGATTGGAGGGCTTACGGGGTGGGGCCGGGCGGGGTCGTGGAGCCAGGCCTGTGTAGACTTCAGGGCACAGCTGAGGTTTGGCTGGGATGGGAGGCTTAGGCCTGGGCTGCTGGGAGGGCTAGGAGAGAAGGTGAGGCCAGGGAGGAGAAAAGGGTCAGAGCAACTGAGTCTGGGCCAAAGCCAGAGCCTAAACTCCAGCTTGAGCCTCCTCACCCTTTAGGCCCTGCCCCCTCTCTCATAGTCTCACCCTCCTTTTTGTCCCCACCCTCCCTCCCCCTCAGACCCCTCCTTCTCCCTCACCACTCCATCCCAATACCTCCTTTGACTCCCCGGCACCCTCTTTCTTCAGTAGGGCGGGGGCATGTCCCTGTTTGAGGACTGTGCTATAGTGGGGGTCTGGGTCCTGGGTTTTGCTTCCAGAGTCTGTTTCTTCAGTCCTCAAGGGAAGTCCTATGGGCTCAGGAGTCTGCTGGGAAAGAAGAAGGCCTGAGGGACTTGGTGCAGGAGGGTTATAGGGGCAGGTGATCCAGGAGGACAAAATGACTTGGTCCAAGTGGAGGATGAGGGTAGGGGAGGCACAGAACTCTGGCCTGGGCTGGGGACTGGGTTCCCTGGGTCAGGAGGGGAAGGTGGGGAGGGCAAGGAGGCAGGGGCAAAGAGGGGTGGAGGTGGCAGATCTGGCTACAGGTCATATCTAGCATTAAATTTAATTTCATCTCGAACACTGGGCTAGGCCAGTTTCCATTTGTGCCTCTGGTTGTAAAAATGCAACAAGGCTTTAGAAGTCTTTAGCATGGAGATAGAGCTCCATGACAGCTGTGCCTGTGTTTATTTTGTAGATGCCTGGGTCTGAGTGGAGCTGTCCCCTTCTCTGTCTTTGTGGGCACGGGTTCATGTGTGTGTGCACATGAGGCTGTGCATTTGCCCCATAAATCCAAGCCTGTGTGGATCCCTCATGCTGCCAAGGCCCTCTGAGATGCCTGGATAAGCATAATTTATGGAGATATAAGCCAGATTTTTTAAGGGCAGAGTGACAGCCTCAGAGAGCCTTAGCTTATTCCCCGGTAAGTGTGCTTTTTGTCCAGCATTTAGCCCTGGGCTCATAAACGTTCTCCACATGCCCGCTACTTCTGGCAAACTGAGGTCATAGGGCTTAAGCTAAGGTCACAGAACTTTCTTCGTGCTCCTGCAATACACCAAGTGGGTGTCTCCATCTGGAGGTGTACAGGCACTGCAGGCTTCCTGGGTCCAAATCAGAATTCTTTTTTCCTGCCTAAACCCTCTCCTCTTTCAGCATTCCCTTTATGAATAAAAAGTAGCATCTCCACCCTGGTGCTAAGACAGCACCTTAGCAGTCAGCCATGACACCCTAGCCCCTCTCCCTCCCTCCCCACATCTAAACAAGATAAGCCTTGCTCCTTCCACTGACTGAACATTTCTCACATCTGGCCACTCATCTCCATGCCCACAGCCGTCGTTCCAGTTTGGGCCTCTGAACTGCTTCCCTGTGTCCTCTTTTGCCCCCCTAGCCCATTCTCCACTCAGCGGGCGGAACGGTCTTACAGAAACTCTCCTAACAATCCTTCAGCGTCTTCCTGCAGTCCCCAGGATAAAGTCCAACCTCCTGAGAGATGAGTGACAAGACCCTGCATGGCTGGGGCCATAGAGCCTCCTATCTCCCACCATTCTCCCTCTAGCTCTCTCAGCTCTGGCTGGCTCCCCTTCACCCCCAGATTTTCCTATACCCAGTTTCTGCTGCTTGGGAATCTTTAGTCCTCGCCTACTCCCCATGAAATTCCACAAAAGAATTGCCCATAGTTACTGTCCCCACTTCTTGGAACTCTTTTTTTTTTTTTTTTTAATTGTACTTCAGGTGAAGGCTTACAGAACAAATAGTTTCTCGTGAAACAGTAGTACACATATTGTTTATGACATTGGTTAACAACCCCACAACATGGCAACCCTCTAACTTCTCAAGCTTTTTTTTTTTTGGTGAAAATACACATAGCCAAAGATACACCATTTCAAAAATATCTACATGCACAGTGTCCCCACTTCTTGATGGGGACCCCAATTGAGCTCCATGAAACTGTTCTTGTCAAGATCACCAATGACCTCCTCTTTGCTAAATACAGTGGTGGATTCCTGACCTATCACCACCCCCTCTTTCTCGACTCACTTTCTTCACTTGGCTTCTGGGACATCTTACTCTCCTGATTTTACTCCTCTCTCTCTGGCTGCTTCTTCTCAATTTCCTTTGTAAGTTCCTCCTCATTTCTGCAAACTTGAAATTCTGGAGGCTTGGTCTTCATTTCTTTTCTATCTACACTCATCCCCCGAGTGATTTCACCCTTCCTGAGGGCTTTAGAGTCTAATCTACATGATGTTAGCTCCCAGGTGTTTCTCTCCAGCCCATACCTCTGTCCCAAACTCCAGACTCGTATATGCCAACTGCCTACTTGACATCTCTGTTTGGAAGTCAGATGGACATCTCCAACTGTGCATACTGAACTCCTCATCTCCCCTCCCCACAGACTTGCCCCTCCCATAGCCTTCCTCATCTGGTGAATAACAACTCCATCCTTTCATATGCCTTACCCACTCCTGAAAAAATATGTCAGCTTCACCTTTCAAAACAGATCCAGTATTCCACCCCTCCTCAAACCTCCACCTCTATTGCTCTGGTCCAAGTCAGCATCATTTCACCTGAAATATGATAGTAGCCTCCACCTGGTCACCCTTGCTTCTCCCAAACTTGTGAGGCCTTGTCAATCCTTAGCTTATACTCTCCAGTGCCATTTCATCTCATTCAGAATAAAATCCTAAACCCTACAAGAGTCCACAGGGTCTCCTCCAAATACCTCTCTGACCTCACCTCCTACCTCTCTACGCTTCAATCACCCAGCTGGTTTTCTTACTGCCCTCCCTATTCATCAAACACATCAAGCATCCTCTTACCTCAGGGCCTTTGCACCTGTTGTTCCTGCCTGGAATGCTTCCCCCCCTGTTGTCTACGGCTTCCTTCCTTGCTTCATTTAGGTCTCCATTCAAATGTCCTCTTACTAGAGTGGCCTTCCCTGATGTCCCTATGTAAAATAGGCCACCCCTGTCACTCCTTATCACTGCTTGGTTTTTCTTCATAGCTCTTACTTATCATCACCTGACATACGTTGTATTTACTTGTCTATCTTATTTATTCGTTGTCCTTCCACTGGAATGTAAGCTCCATGAAGGCAGGGATATTTGGGTCAGTTTTGTTCACTGCTATTTTTCTGTACCCAGAACAATGCCTAGCACGTGGTGGCCCCTCAGAACTACATGAACCTCCTCAGGGAGATACTCCCTGACACAGTGCCCCTAGCTGAATTCCTCAAGTGAGCTAAATGGCACCTCACCGTGTATTTCCCCTCTCATCACAGGCGCTACACTTGCTTCCTATTGCTTGTCTATCTTTGCTGCTGGAAAGTTAGCCTTGTGAGTTTGAAACCTGCCTGTCTTGTTCACTGCTCAATTCCTGGGGCCTGCTAGCCCCCTGGCATACGGTAGGCACTCAATTAAACATCTCTTTAATTTTAAAATGACTGTGTGCCTGGCTGGTCTCTCCGGCTCCTCCTGTCTTTGTGTGGCTGGGCTGGTCTCTCCAGAACTTCTCCCTCAGCACTCATGTTTCTCCAAGGGCTTCCCACGGAGATGTATGGGCAAGGGAGGCATGGTTGGGTGGTCTGCTGGCCTGAGAAAGTGCCCGCTATCGCGGTCCCCAGGCCTGGGCTCTGACTGGGTGGGGAGGGGAGCTGGCCTGAGTCCCTGGGGTCTCGGATCAGGGTGGGGGGGGGCGTACCTGTCGCGCGCAGGGCTCTGTGAGCTTTTCCCCATAGGGGCTGAGCGGGGACCCTGTGTAGTGTCGCAGCAGGTCCTGCAGCCGTGCGTGGGCGCTGTCCTCGCCCAGCACCACGTAGCGCCCGTCTCGGAGCTGGGCCAGCAGGAAGTGGCGGCAGCAAGTCCGGCTCCTGGAGGGTGTCATTCAGGATCAGACCCGTTTCTCCTACCTGGCCAAGACCAGCGCTAGGCGCGACCCCTACATACTTCGCCAGGGTCTCCGGGCCTCCGCAGCCCGGGGGCGGAGCGAAGGGCCCCGCTGCTCACCTGTAAGTCAGCACAAAGGCCACGGCGCTCTCGCTGAACCTCACCAGGTAGCATCCCTGGGGCTTGGTCTCCAGCAGTCTCTCGGCCTCCCTGTGGGTAGCAGAGGGAAGAGACAGAACACTGCTCTGACCCTCCGGGCCTCGCCCAGTCTCCCTGGAGCTCCTGGGGGCCCGCCCCCCAGCCCAGTGTGCTGAAGTGGCTAAAAGAGGGCCAGAGTGGGGATGGGGAAAGAGGTTGTGAGCACTGTGCTTCCACTGGGAGTGGACAGGGGCCAGGGTCCCACTCAGGACTCAGGAGGCCGGGTGGCCTGTCCCTGCAGGCCTGTCCACCCTCATCCTGAAAGGGCTGGGGCTGCAGCAACAGGAATAGTAGTTAGACTTCTAGATTTCAGAAGTCCCGAGCTGAACGGAGGAGGTGATCCAAGAGATACAAGGGCAGTGAGGCTGAGAAGTAGAGGAGGAGAGAGAAAGACAGGGAGACAGGGGGAAGGAAGAGGCGGGGGCTTGAAGGAGCCAGAGATGAAGATGGAGTACGATGGAGAGAAAGACAAAGAAGTGGAAAATATGGTAGCGCAGGGGTTAAGACCTCGGCTGCTAACCAAAAGGTCAGCAGTTTGAATCCACCAGCTGCTCCTTGGAAACCCTATGGGGCAGTTCTACTCTGTCCTATAGGGTTGCTATGAGTCAAAATCAACCCAATGGCAATGCAGTTATGGAGACCTTAAAGACAGAAGGATAGTGGAGGTTGAGAGGGGAAACCAAGCACAGAGGTAGTTGGACTGCAGTCTTTCCAATTACCTCCCCGGGGGAGAGATGCCTTAGCGAATGGCGTAGGAGCTGGGAGATGGGAGTCGCAGCCTCAGTCTGCCGTGACTGGCAAGGGACTCGTGGCCCTCTCTGGGCCTGTTTCGTCCTCTGTGACTCACTTTCGGGTGATGAAGCCGTGGAACCAGGCAGGGGCTGCCCCGTGCTGTGGGAGCCAGTGCGCCTGGGTCTTCTGGAACCAAGCCCGGGTCTCAGCCTGCAGGTTCAGGCCTCCTTCCCCAGGTACCTCCTCAGCCTTTCCAGCACCCTCTGGATTGGAAGCAGTCCCCTGGGCCTGGAGAGACACCTACTAGGGGAAGCGTCCAAGGAGGGAGAAGCAGCCATGATTAGCATGCCTTCCCCTAACTCCAAACCAGCCGCCACCGTCTCATCCCCATACCCAGTCCCTCCTGGGCGTGGGGAGGAAGCCCACCTCCCACCCAGACCCGTTGTCTATTTTAGGATGTATTTGCCCAGAAAGTCCTTCCCAGGTTCTCATTTAAATCCTGTCTTCAGCTCTAGCTGTTTTGGTTTCTAGGGAATGTCCTTCCACTTCCTTTAGGGCCACGAAGGCCTTTAATCCAATAGCAGTGAGCTGTTACAAGGTACTTAAATGGGGCAAGACAGGCAACAAGGCCTTCCAGACAGACTGAAGGTCATTCTCTGGCCTGGGGAATGAAGGGAGATGATGCAAGTCACCCCAGAGGCCAGGATGAGGGAGGGCTCCCTGACAGTAGGGGGGATTGAAGCTGAGTTGAAGGGAGGATTTTCTAATGACTGGGAGGGGTGAGGGGGGAACCTGGGTGGTGCAAATGGTTATCGAACTTGGCTGCTAACTGAAAGGTTGCAAGTTCAAGTTCAGCCAGAGGTGCCTCAGGAGAAAGGCCTGGTGATCTACTTCGGAAAAATCAGCCATTGAAACCCTGTGGAGCATGGTTTCTACTTGACATGTGGTTGCTAGGAGTCTGCATTGACTCAACGGCAACTGGTTTGGGAGGGTGAGGAGAATTGAAATGGAGACCTGGGATGTAAGGGGCAAATGAAGGCCACTGACAGATTTGCAGGTGACTGCTTACTGGACTAAATGCACTGTTATGTATTAACCTGTGGACTCAGCCTGAGCTTCCCAGGCCCAAAGGAGCAGTGTGGGCGAGGGGGCAGCTCAGCAATGAAGGAATTACTCCCTCCCTTCTTTCCCTCCCTCGGCTCCTCTAGCCCCGTCCACAGCTCCGGATCACTCCTGCTCTGTCTTCCCAGTGTCCATCTGCAAGCCCTCACCTGTGGGAGGGTGGGAGCAGATGGGGGGCTGCAACCCCCCAAGTGCCCACTCACCGGAGCCTCGATAGCCAGAGCCCTGGGGCTGGGCTGGACCTCCTCAGCCTCCAAGGCCTGGGATCTCGGTTGCGAGAGCAGACCCAGGCCCTGGCAGCTCCTGCGGGTCAAGTCCGTGGGCAGAAAGGTGCTGAAGGTTGGGCTGGGGATTTGGCGACTCCCTGTCAGTATAAAGAGGACTTCTGGTGTTTCTCAGTGAGGGCTTGCCTCCTCCCCTGCTTCCCGCTCCTTTCCCCAGGTTCAGTGGGCCCTGCATGCCTCTGACCAGGGACCAGGGGAAAAATTTCTCAGCAATGAGGAATGAAGAACCAAGAAGACTCTGCAGGGCTGATGCTGTTAGAGGGGGTTGTCAGGGGAAGGAAGGCCTGGGAACTAAGCTGGCCTTCTGATGGCCCGAAAGTCTCATCATCAGGAGGTGGATTTCTTCTGGCTCAGGGTCCTCTGCCTCCCAGCCCCTTCTCCTCCCAGCTCCCTCCTCTCTAAGAAGCACTCAGCAAACCCTGTCTCCTTTGTCCTCAGGGATGAGTGGACATGGAGTGCCAGAGGCAGGAGGGATCATGGGTGCCCTGACAGTCAGCCTTGCCAGCTCTGGCTTGGGGTGGGGGCCCTCACCCTTGAAATGAGAGCTCAGGCCCAGGAGAGAAACAGTGGTGATAAGGGGAGTCCTAATGTCCCCTGCCCACCACATTCTTACACTTCCCACTTACCTTGGGGACATATCTGAGCCAAGGGGAACTCCATGGGGGCAGCTGTAGAAGGGGAGCCCCTGGAACAGGGTGTGTGTCTGTGCTCTGGAAAGTTGAGCACACTCAGCAGCTCATCTTCTCCCTCACCTCGGCCCCAGGGGGCAGGAAGTGTCGCCTCACCCACAGCCTTAGCCCCAGCAGAGGACCCACGTCATGGAAAGCCGTAAGACGGTTGTCCCTCCCCCAGGAAGCCAGGCAGCTGAAGGCGTTAGTGGTGGTGTGGTGACGGCGGATATTTGTGTCACTCTGTGTTTGCGTGTTGGGAAGTCCTCACTACTATCTGACCTCGATCTCCCTGATTCTTTCTCCACTCCCTCACCCCAAGCTGGGATTTTCCTATCTCTCTCTCTCTGGGCTTCTGCTTTCTCCCTGGAAAATCCCCTAGCAGTCTGTTCTGAGCAGTGGGAATGGGGATGTCAACCTCAGAAGGATGAGCTCTGTAAGGTGCCTGGGACGCCCCGAGATTCATACTCAGGATTGTGCTCTGAGTGCGCTTGAGAAGGGGAGGGGTGGGGCTGTGACAGGAAGGTTGTGGGCCAGCCTTCTGGAAGGACTTTTTGAGATCATATAAAAACAGGCAGTGGGGGAGTAGGGAGATGGGAGCCTGGCTTCCAGCCTGGAGCAGATAATGGAGCTGGGTTAGGGCAAAACCAGGCAATTCTGGAGAAAAGGAAGGGGAACTCCCTCTAAGTAGAAAAATAAACAAATACTGCATTACCATCAAGCAGCTTCTGACTCAAAGTGACCCTATAGAACAGAGTAGAACTGCCCAATAGCGTTTCCAAAGCTGTAATCTTTATGGAAGTAGACTGCCACATCTTTCTCCCACAGAGTGGCTGGTCGGTTCAAAGTGCTGACCTTTCAGTTGGCAGCCAAACTCTTAACCACTGTGCAGCCAAGGTTCACTGCCAACCAAGCAGGTTGTGATTAATACAACACCCTTAGTAGTCATTGTTAATAACATCAGCGCTGATGTCTTAAACTTGCAGTGTGCTTTATACACCCTCCGCACACCAGAGGACCCTCCTATTTCTCTGTCATTTGATCCTCACAAACTACGAAGGGGAAAGGAAACATTATCTCCATTTTCCAGAAGGATAAACTGAGGCTGAGAGAAGGTCAGTGCTTTGTCCAGGGTCTTTCAGAGTCTCAGAAGTTGGTGGCAGAGCTGGGACCAGAAACTAGAGCTCCTTTTACCATGATTTAGGCCAACAGTCCATGACTATGTGCCAGGCACTGTTCTTGGGGCTGAGAACCCAAAGGGAAAAAGGACGTTGTTCCTGTCCTCAGGACATCAGGTGGAGGAGACGGAGTTGCCAACAGAACCTTTTTAAAGATGGTGGCGAGGTCACGGTGTTGGCTGGTGCTACCGGAGCTGGAGTGTGGGAGCAGTAGTGTTGACCCTTGTCTAACTTCAGAGAGGATAAAAATCAGCATCAGCCCAAAGCGGATTCCTACAAGGTGGAGGTCAGACATACCTCCACTCTCCAACCTTTTTACCAATTCTGACACCAGCCATCCACCCCATGGCACTCTCTACTTCTCTGACAGGTTCTGTAATTTGTTACGTGCAACAGCCACACAGAACTCACAGACCATATTCACAGTTATATGGTTTATTAGGGAAGTAACATGGGATCAGGATCAACAGTCTACAACTCGGGATCAGGATCAGGAACCATGCAGGCAAAGTCTCCCTTCTTTGGTGCAGGACAGCTCTCTCAGTTCCTCTCGGCCATGGAAGCAAGCAGGCACTTCTCTCTGCTGTACAAGCCCCCTCTCAGCTGTGCAGGCCTCCTCTCAGGCCCCTCAGGATAGGCCCCCTCTTGGCTCCTGCCCTGCTCCACGAGTGTTAGAGTTGTCATCTCTGCTGACAACTGCCGGGAGACATCCCCCTCTGCCAGCAAGCCTCCTGCCCGAAGCCTCTCGTTTTGTGGGCCGGGAAGCCTACCACACCATGTCACACTAATGTCCTGGTTCTGTTTCTGCCACTCCAGTATTACAGCTCGATCTCCTGGGTCTAGGAGGTTGTCAGCGCACGGACCCCGGGTCCAAAGGACATGCTCCGCTCCAGGCTCTTCTTATTGATGGTAGTGAGTTCCTCCTCAACCTCTGTGGGATGGCTGCTTACATAGGCAAGTGGTTCAATCCTATTGGGCATATTTTATGCACCCCATTTGCATAACCGACCAATCCCCTCACTGAACTAAACTGACCAATCACCCCAGCAAGTGGCTCCATTTATTTGCATAATAACTGACATTTTCTTCTGGCAGGGACTGGCTTCCTCCCTGGGTGAAAGTAACAAGCTTCTCCAAAGCACTAGGGCACGTGTAACAACTCCTCGTGGCCCAGGGGAAAAATCACCCAAGCTGTTTTCTTCTCTCTTTTCACAGAACCCAGGCATAAGTCCACATAAAGAAACTCATTTCACCATAGGAGCCCACCCTAGAGACCCTTAATTCAGCCTGGTGTGTGTGTACTTATGTGGAGGGGCTGGGATGTGGGAAGAGGAGACTGAGCTGAGTTGTGGGATAAGGGTTGAAGAAGGTGGGGAAAGCGTTCCTAGAAAACCGACAGCATTGTGCAAACTCAAGGGAGAATGAAATGGCAGAGTGCGTGGGGCAGCTGCAGGGGACCGTGTCACTAGCGGAGAAGCTGGGCTTTTTTTAATTGGAGAAACTGCCAGTAGCAGTTTATGCAGCTGGAGGGGTCAGGGCCGATCACACGTTGCCAGTTTGGACTCTGGACTCTCTGCCTGGGCTCTGTCTACTGGGAGCGGCTACTTGCTCCCCAGCTCTGTGCAGGGGAGGACTTTTCCCACCAGTCACTGCTGGCTCTGCCATGCCCACACCCCAAGACCTTGCCACCCCCTAAGCTGCCTGCCCCCTCTTTCCTTCCTTAAACACACTTACCTTAGTCTTTGTCCCAGCCAAGGAGTTGGAAATGAGACTGTAAGGGCTGACAGATGCCTGAAAGGTCTTCTTCCCCAGCTCCTCATTTTATTGAACTGAAGACTGAGCCCTGGAGAGGAAAGTCACTCATCCTGGGTCCACGTAAGTTAGACATGGAGTCAGACCTCCTGATGATCAATGCTGTAACCAGTTTATTGAGTAGTCTCAGTGCAGTGGGGTTCACATCTGACATGGCTTTATTTTCCTGCAGTTACTACCTTCAATCAGGCTCTGCCCTCTTTCTTACCCTGTAACAACATCTCGAGCAGATACTGTAGTTTTCACTCACTGTCCTATCAGGAATTAGGAGTTCAGATCAATCCATTTTAAAATTTCAACATCCAATTGTGTACCTGATTTATATTGCTTTTCTTCCTCCCTTCTCCTACCCTGTTCCCCTGACAGGTAGCTTAGGGAGTTGGAGTGTGGAGGGGGTATGATCTGCTCTCCTTGTCCCACCAACCCTCTGGGGCTAGCAGCAGGACTGAGAGGGGAGATTGAGGATTGTTGTATTTGTTATCTATTGCTGTGTAACAGATTGCCACAAATTTGGTGGTTTAAAACATACATTTATTATTTCACAGTTTCTGTGGGTGAAGAGCCCAGACACGGGTCTCACAAGGCTGAAATCAGTGACAACCTGGATGCGTTCTCATTTGGAGGCTCAGCTGGGGAAAACTTTGCTTTCAAGCTCATTAAGGTTGGTGGGAGAATATATTTCCTTGTGGTTGCAGGACTGAGGGCCCTGGCTTCTTGCTGACTGTCTGCTGGAGGCTGCCCTCAGCTCCTCACCACTTGGACTTCCTAACATAGCTACTTACTTCTTCAAAGCCAGCTAGAGAGAAAGTCTGTGGCAAGACACGTGCTACAGTCTTATGTGTCTTAGTTACCTAGTACTGTTGTAATGGAAATATCACAAGTGGGTAACTTTAAAGAACAATTCTGGAGGCTAGAAGTCCGAATTCAGGGTGTAGTTCTAGGGGGAGGTCTTTCCTTGGCTATTCCAGCTCCTAGTAGCTTCCAACCATCTGTGGAGTTTCTTGCCTTGTAGAAACTTCTGTCTCCATTGTCTGTCTTCCTCTCCCCACTGTGTCTGCCTGTCTCGGTGTCCACTCTGCTCTTTTTTTAATTCAGAATGATTAGGTTTAGGATCTACCCAACACTGGTATAATTGATTGATTACATTAAATTTTATTATGGAAAGTGATTACATAAGATTAGATTGCATCCACAGGTATAGGGGTTAGGATTCCAACACACATTTTGGAGGGACACAATTCAGTCCATAACACTATGTGATCACAAACACATAATTCTGTATACTTTTGCCATATTCCATTGGTTAGAAGTAAGTCATAGGTCCCATGAAAACCAGACACCTTAGAGTCTGTCTGCTACATAAGACTAGTGTCTTATGGCTCACGTTACTACTCACCTGTTGGTGTGGAAGAGGCCTGATCTTGCTCTGTCTATGGCTGCTGATGGCAGTCTTGTGTCCACTTAGGAAGCCAGATTTCATGACGCATGGTGTGGCTTTTGATGTAAATCAGAAATGAAGAGGTGACTCAGAGAAGATAGGCTCAGTCTGTGGGGTATGGAGACCATTCATTCCTGGAAGTTCAACTTGAACTCCAGTCATCCCCAGCCACAGAAAAGGGGGGGATATGATAAAGATTCCATTATCTCTTTCCAGACGATTGAGAGGAAGGAAAATCTCAATAACATCAGTCAGAACAAGGCCAGGGGCCAACTCAGAACAGATCATCAATTGCTCATATGCAAGTTCAAGTTGAAACTGAAGAAAATTAGACCAAGTCCACGAGAGCCAAAGTATGACCTTGAGTATATCCCACCTGAATTTAGAGACCATCTCAAGAATAGATTTGACATGTTGAACACTAATGACCAAAGACTAGACGAGTTGTGGAATGACTTTAAGGACATCATACATGGAGAAAGCAAGAGGTCATTAAAAAGACAGGAAAGAAAGAAAAGACCAAAATGGATTTCAGAAGAGACTCTGAAACTTGCTCTTGAATGTTAAGTAGCTAAAGCGAAAGGAAGAATAGATGAAGTAAAAGAGCCGAACAGAAGATTTCAAAGGGTGGCTTGAGAAGACAAAAAGTATTATAATAACACGTGCAAAGACCTGGAGTTAGAAAACCAAAAGGGAAGGACACACGCAGCATTTCTCAAGCTGAAAGAACTTAAGAAAAAATTCAAGCCTCGAGTTGCAATATTGAAGGATTCTATGGAGAAAATATTAAATGA